AAATTTGGTTGTGTGCCCCCCCCCCCCCCTCGTTCCTGGCACGCGTGGATAATTACACCTCCTGTTATGTGATGTTATGTTATGTTATTGTATGGGTCAAATTGGTCCATGTTTGAAATGTGGAGAAAAAATAAAACTTCCGCTGACCTATAATTACACCTCCTGTTATGTGATGTTATGTTATGTGATTGGATGGGTCAAATTGGCCCATGTTTGAAATGTGGAGAAAAAAATAAAACTTCCGCTGACCTCATTTTTGCTATTCTTTGTTGCTTATAAGATTTTCAGGATTTTAACCCTTTCATGCACCCTGTAACCTGATAACATGATAAGCTGTCCACTGTCGTAACCGCCATCCCTGAAAAGGTTAAAGCCGATCAGCGAGTAAAACAAAACAAAACAATGACAACCGAAGACTGAACGGATTAGAAGTTGGACCATCCTATTCAAACAACGCGTTTATCGACTACAGAACAGTCAGGGGTTTTGGCCCATTCCAGCCCACAGGAGCCCATGCCCGAATTTGGACAGGAAGTCGGCCATTTTGGGTCAAAGCCGCATCTTATTTTTACAATTACATGTGAGGCCCAATGAAGAGCTGTCGGTTACCCACAACTCTGATCTAAACTCAAGATCATATTTTTGGAAATCTAAATACAGTAAACAGCCTGATGTAGTTGAAACATTGCACATTTTTTGTAGTCAGTACGGAAAGTTTTGAATCACCATCGTCCATTCCAATGTCAGAGAAGTGTTCAAAGCAGTGTGTGCATATCTGCTGTTGCATTTTGACAAATTAGAATATCAAAATAATTAGATTTTAATTGTTCAAAATATGAAACTGAAACAGATTCATTAAAAACGGGGGAATACTTGACAGAAGGTGCCTAATTTTTTTTATTAAAAATAATTGTTCTTGTTACATGTCATATTCAATTTTTGGAGCGAATTGTAGGTTTCTTCACTGTAAACTATAGTCATAGAATATGAAATAAAAATAAATAAATCATGAAATATTCCCGTGTATCGTAAATAAGTACGAGTTTTACTTTTTGAAGTTATTATAATTTGAGATGCACCTTGTAATTGTTTTTGCATTGTGTTTACGTCAAACCCTTTCGATGCCTTCACTGACCCTCCGAAAGTTGACCAGCCATCATCGTGTTTATTAGCGTCCGTATTGGCTGCGCGACGCTCCCGGCTGGAGTTGTTAGCTCTTTTGAATGCCACAAGCTGATGATTATTTCTCCACTGTAATTACATTATCGTCCCCTTTATGCAGGAGTGGTCTGTGGGGACTAATGGGTGCAGCCATGTATAATTCATTTATCATTAGCATCCAATTTGACAATTAGATGTGATTGTTGAATTTTAAATAGCAGTAGAATCTCTTTTGTCGTTATCTGTTTTTCATCGGCGAGAGTCAAACTTTCTTTAAAGCAACAATATGTGGTAATTTTACCTTCAGAAAAAAAAACAGCTTTTGAATTAATGGGTTGTGTCGAGTGGAATGCTATCGCTGTTGTTGCCCTGGTAACTCAAGCAAACCATGAAAGTCTGGAATAATTGTTGGATCGAATAACTTTTGTCTGATTTTGCTTATCACTTTTGTCTCACACACACACACACACACACACACACACACACACACACACACACACACACATACAAAATTTAGAAAGATAGTGGATTCATGAAGTAAGGCTGGCTAATTCTGTTAGTATTGAGATTACTTTGCCATTTGTAGTTTAAAAGAACACAGATTTAACATTTCATGCGTGTACTTGGAACAAAATCAGTATGTTCAAAAATGAACTTTTTAACACCATTATTGTCAAATGTATCCATTTGAACCCTCTCAGAGACAGTGGTTAGTACAGTGGACAGCTTATCATGTTATCAGGTTACAGGGTGCATGAAAGGGTTAAAGTTGTGGTTATTTGGTATGAAAGTTACTTTGCTTGGATTGATAAATCCATTGGTTAGTCAGGTTTCATCTCTCTCTCTCTAGCATATAAACAATGTTCATTGCGTTGCCCATTTTGGACACTTTTGGATAACCATGGGAAGATTATTCTTTAAAAACCAATCAAATTTTGATTACTTATTTCTTATTGTATACATTATGATTGAGCATCCGCAGTGTTCTATGCTGCCTTTATTTCTATTGTAACAAAGTTTCTCATTTTATTGCTTCCTCTCTTCCTCCTCCACCTCCCCCTCGCGCTACTCCTCTTCTGCTCTGATTTCCGCGCGCTAATTTTCCTCTTCGTGCCTCAGCATGATTCTCCCGCTGTCACTCTCGTTCCCACTCGTGCTGCGATGGCGCTCCCTCCCCCTCTGGGACACCAAGATTAATATTCTTGGGCCCAACAAGATAATTACCGATACTAATTAGACATGATTATGTGAATTTGATACACTTATTACTCTAGATAATGAGTAGGACATATTATCCTAACAAGCGCCCGTGCCGCTTAGTACTTCGTGTCTCACACACACACACACACACACACACACACACACACACACACACACACACACACACACACACACACACACACATTCTATAGATGTTCAGCTGTTCAATCATAAGCTAATGTGTAATCATAAAATAAAAGGCCCGGAACAAAGAAAATGTCAATAAAGTTGTATATATACCATATTTTTGCTAATGTTCGAATTGAATTCCCCTCACCTCTCCATTAACATTGAAATGTTAATTATTATGGCATTGCGCATACTCTTTTGACAATGTGTGGCCTTTTGGGGGGCCTCAACAATGCCAAAAACAAACAAATATTTGCACAGGTAAATTCATACACAGTAGCCCCCCTCCCGCCCCTGAAAATGTTGAGAAAATTAGCATCAGACCCCAGTTTCACAGATGATCACACATTTCGCTGAGCGTGTGCATTATATGTATGTCAATTGCCACAAATAGAACAGAAAGTTGGCCATTTTCGTTTGAAGCAGCCATTTTCAGCGAGTTCCAGAGCTTGTATTTTGACAAACTTTTATAACCAGTGTATCACCAGAGACCAGCAGGTGTGCCATGAGATAAAAGTCCCAAAGTAGTTTACCGACTACAAATATGTATTTTTTTCCCCAAATATGTATAGTTACTTCCATCCAACCAACCCTTGTCTTCATTTTTCTTGACATTTTGTTTGGTGGTGTTCCTTGAGCTTTTTCTCCTCATTTCAATAATTGTGCCATGACTCAATCAAGTCTGAGAAATGCCATCCGGAGCTTGTCGTCATGATTTGATGATCATTTTGAGGATTTGCCTTGAGAAAGGGAGCGTGAGGCGCCTTGCAGCTTTAATTCTTGTTCTTGCTCTTAATAAATGGCAAAGAGGTGTGAGTTTATGATGATTCTGAATGTGCCCGCGAGCTGGAGGAAGCACCCCGCATGGTGCCGCTGAGCCCATGAATTAGTGAAGAGGCATCAGCGGCTTGCCTGATTGGAGGTTCAGAGGAGTGCGCCTGCTGACGCCAACGCAGAGAGATGGATGTGCCAGTCGGAGGGATGAGGCGAGATAATTAGCCTTCAGAGTATACCTTGTTAATTAAGGCCTAATTAGAGGAGCTTTGTGTGTGTGTGTGTGTGTGTGTGTGTGTGTGTGTGTCTGTGTGTCTGTGTGTCTGTGTGTCTGTGTGTATGTGTGCGCATGCTTCTACAGAAATAAACCCAACAACTTTTGACTCTTTTCCCTCGTTCACAAGCGCGCTAACTCGCGAACTTCTTGTCTTTGCCTTGTCTCCAGGCGCCTCGCACTCCAACAGCAGCTCGTCCCTGCAGACAGGCGCATCCTTGTTTGGCAGCAGCAAGGACGGAATGCACCAGCGTTCCTTCTCCGTTTCCAGCACTGACCAGTGGAACGACGCTATCAACACCAGTACGAGCAGCGCCGCCCGTAAGTAACGCTTAAAGATAAACTAAGCTCACATAAGGCCATATAAACACTTCTGCCGTTCTTGTTTCGAATCTCATACATATATGTTCATATGTACATCTATGTTCAATGAAGGCTCAAAATTGCTCAAAGGCGTGAGTGGGAGTGTGACCGATTGTTTGTTTATATGTGCCTTGTCCAAAGTAACCTCAATCGGCTCCAGCTCACCCGAGACCTTTAATGAGGACAAATTAGAAACCGAGGACAAATTAAAACGAGATCACTTAACTACTGATTACCATATTTTCCGCATTATAAGGCGCACCTAAAAGCATTCAATTTTCTCAAAAGCCGACAGTATCCTTTATAATCCGATGCGCCTTATAAATGGATCAATATTGTGATTTCTTGGACGTAGTATTTTAAATGTTCTGTAAAGCGCTTTGTTACAGCTGCAGCGGTTGTGAAAGCTCTATATAAATAAAGCTGTATTGTAGTGTATTCCCTTTAGCATAGCTCCATCTCATGGATGCATAATACAACCACAGCCACCATTGTAGCTTCTATTCTATGTGCCTTATAATGCAATGCCCCCTTTATATGAAAACTGTTATAGGCCATTCATTTAACCCTGGAGAACCCACGGGGTCTAATTTGGCCCCTACAATTTCTGCTACTCAAATGCTACCCTTAAATCCCAAAGTGTCAAATTTGGCCCTCATCCTAAATTAGTATTAAAGCATTGAATATTTGAAAAAACATATATTTTGGCGTTCAATGAACATATAGCAGTCATTTAATGTATAATTCATCATTTTCCAAAGAAGAAAAGGGTTCTTGGGTTCTCCAGGGTTAAGGTGTGTTGTCTACTTTGAAGCGCTTTATAGTGCGGAAAATACGGTATTTTGAATTTCCTCTTGAGGGATGAGAATCAGTGTAATATTTTGTTTTTAATGATTGCAATTACATTATGATGAGGTGAAGATAACAGTTAAGATATACTTAAAGTTAAATATAGTCAAGTTAGGGTGAGAGAAAAGACCACATGGCTAGACTTACATTAAGGTAATTGAAGCGGCTACGAGACTGAGAAGGGTTGTAATCAAACAAAACAATGAGGTGTGACTAAGTTCATTTAAAATAAATGTCTCAATATGAAAGAATGAGTTTTATGATTTACATTTATGAAAACATAAAATTGGCTAGATTTGGCTAAGATTAGTTTAACATGAAGTGTTATATTGGATGAAGATGAGATTCTTGAAGCGAGGTCCACATGTAAAGACAATCGATCTGTTTTTGTCCCGATTTGGCTCCTACCCGACCAAGGACATCAAACTCCCCACATTTTACATCTGCTAAGATCGTTTTATAAGACTATCCTTATGGGGAATGTGTGCTCAGAAGTGGGTTTGTCCCGATAATATGGTCCAAAACCAGTCGCGGCCTCACCAAAAACAAAACAAAACAAAAAAAAAGCGAGGGAATGCAAAGGTTTTTTTCTTCTTCTATGTCACCTTAGTGGCCAACCCGATCTTGGGTTTTTTTTTTTGGTTTTTTTGTTTGTTTGTTTTGTATGTACATGGTTTCCTCAGATGGCTGGAAGTGTTTTCAAAAGTTCCAAAAAAATTTCCTTGCTGAGCTTGCCACGTTATAAAGCCTCCGTCTTCCTCGGCAACCATTGGCACCAACCTGGAAAATCACAGTCGTCTTCGTGTTTGTAAAATCATGTGTGATCATGCGAGAGCTCTCCCTTGCACAACCGGATTCCTGACCGGTGCTGGAAGAGAATCTTTATGTGTGTGGGGAGCAGTGTTGATATTACTTCGTATATGAGTACCATATCACTTTTTTATCTTTATGTGCGGGGTCTGCCAAAGATAGATTATCTTTTCAGATTGGAACAATCCTGCGGTTAACATCAATAAAATCAAATACAGTAAGATTAGGTTTAGATTGACTTAGCTGTAAGAAACAATTAAAAAGAGTAAAATTGAATCAGATCTTGTTCGACTGGGTTTTATGTTGCAGTAATGAATACCTACTATTCCATCTTGCATGTTCACGTGCCAACCCACAAATATGAAATAAGGTGACTTGAGAAGAAAAAGTCTGAAATTGTTGTATTCATTCCCGGGGTTGTATATTCATGACAATTTGAGCAACTTAATGCGTGTTACGCGTGTTGCGAGGCTCATTTAGCTGATGAGCAGATCAGGCCTTACGATCATCTACGTGACCTTTTGAGCGCGTGCGGAGCCGAGTCACACTGAAGGTTAACTTCCTGCCAACCTCGCCGTACCATCGGTGCCGGCGACTGAAGTCAAATAATGTATTCAGCGTGCGCGTCTTTGCCTTCCATCATAGCCCTCCCACACCCCCATCATCACCCCCCCCCCCTTGCTGCTCTTTTCTCTTGCGGGGAGGAAAATGAATGTTTTTCGGGGGTACCATTCATCACCAGTTATTTCCCTCTCTTTGTGCTTGGCAGTAAAAAAGCACTTAAATGCACATCAACAGAATAACAGTCATTTCCATGCATGTTTGCACTCTGGTAGTTCTCATTAGATTGGCGGCGGCGACACCCCCCACCCCACCCCACAATAGTTAGTACACCCCCGCCCCCACTCCATCCCCATACCTCCCCGCCCCCTCCCATGGGCCGTGGCAGTTTAAAGAGCGCACTTTATGAGCGCTGCAGGAGGCCGACTGCGAGACCCTCGTCGTCGCGACGCACGAGCCCGCTCACTCATTTGGAGGCGCAGCGCGATCACGTCTGCCTTGGACACCGCAGCCATCAGCAACAAGGCCCAAGCACAATGATTTCAATTCACGTACAAAATCTATGTTGTCTTGAGTTCAGCTAACGAAAAACTACAACGACAAAACTTACTGTAATTATGGCCGAAAATGTACTTTGTCATCTTTGGCAAATAAATTCATACATGAGCATTATTTCTGTCCTTACATTTCGTACTCGAGGAAGGCCGTTAGCCAGAAGAAGGAAGGTCAATCAATGGTCTGGGAGTTTTGGTCCTCTTACTCTGTGTTGCTTAGAAGCGATGTGATCGAGCAGCAGCCAATAAAAAAGTGTCACCAGATGACGACAAGCCACAAATCCACAAATTTTTGAAGCAGTATTATACACTGCACTTTTTGTAATTTGTCTTTTACATGATCCATATTTGATTTGTAAATCTTTGTTTTTAAAATATTTTTTGATGAACATAAGACACATTACTTACCATGATGTTTTTTTTAATCTTGCACACAGTAAATACAAAAAAAAAAAAGAACACTTAAGCTAATGAAAATTCAATTAAGACGAAGCGCTTTTGACAAAAAAGTAACAAATACTGTATTATGAAAACCCGCTCTGAAAATTAATTAAAATGAACACGTCTGGTCTCATTCATGAGCCACGTTTGTCCTTTTTCTGTACTTCAAAAGGTACTGTACAAAGTGGCATTTTGAGTGCAGTAGACACTAATTTCCTTCCGTTAAATTGGGCGTCCATCGCTTTCGGGTCTCTTAAATCGAGTTTCCACGATCTGTATTTTCCGGTTCACCAACCTGACACCTGAAATTAGCACCCGACACAAATTTGAAATCGGATGGATAATTTTGGTTTCTTTGTAACTGATGCACGCTTCATTTTGTGCGCTGATAAAGAATACTTATTTCAAATATTGAGAAAAAAAATAATACTTTATATTTTCAATTATGAAATTGTCGGCCTTCGGTGGCAGATTTTTTCAGGCAGTGCGAATGAGTAAATTTTTGTCGATCTTTTTCATTCGGATACACGTTTGTGATTTTTTTCGACATGTAAAGGGCCCCCCTCGAAAAGCAATATTTTGAGCCAGCTCTCATGGGATGGTGAAGTGATGTTGTGGCCAGTGATCATAGACACTCTCAGAAAACATGATTGAAATGCGTCGCCAGTCTTCCATCATAACGTAACCCTGTTCAACAATCAATGGAGGGTGTTCCGCAGTGAAGGGTGCTCCTGTTGGGGGCCTAAATGAAGCCCCGTCACTCCATTATCCTTGGCGAAGGTTGCAGGTTAACACGAAAAGGAACGACAATAGCGGGATGCAAAAAAAAAAAAAAAAAAAAAAGCATCAGATTGATGATTCGGCCCAGAATGAAGACGTCTAAGCCCACGTAACCATTTCCATATTATTTAGAGAATGCGCTCATTTGTAAAGCTATTGTGCCAAGGCAGACGCACACGTCGCAACAGCTCTTGAATATTGAGCGCCGATTTTTTGATTAAATCCAGGCCCAATTTTTTTTTTTTTTTTTTTTTTTTTTAATGCTGGTGCTTAGAAGGACAGCCATTCTTAATGCGTCGCATGCCTGCTTAGACCCCTTGCTCCTACACTTCAATCTTTGGCGGTGAATTAAAAGCAAGATGCTCAAAGCCAGGTTGAAAATCTGAATTTCTCAAGTTTTCCAAATGCGGCCTCGCAGTGCAGAGGTGCAGGGTTCGATTCCAGCTCTGGCCTTCCATTGTGGAGTTTGCATGTTCTGCCCGTGCCTGCGTGGGTTTTTTTCCGGGTACTCCGGTTTCCTCCCACATTCCAAAAACATGCATGGCAGGTTATTGGAACACTCTAAATTGTCCCTCGGTGTGAGTGTGAGCGTGGATGGTTGTTCGTCTATGTGTGCCCTGCGATTGGCTGGCAACCAGTTCAGGGTGTCCCCCGCCTAATGCCCGAAGACTGCTGGGGTAGGCTCCGGCATGCCGCGCGACCCTTGTGAGGATAAGCCGATCAGAAAATAGATGGATGAATGCATGGTAATATTCATTCTGAAGTCAAAAACGTGAGCAGAAAAGTTTCTGATTAGCAACCTTTGACCTGATGCTAACTTAAGCGGTGTCCTGGCTGGTCCACTTGTATTCTAGACCGCAAAAGTAAGAGATCAGCATGTTTCAAACCGTGATTCAAAGCTGCTTTTTTAAAGCTCAAATTATTAAATAATGATCACGATTCATTTTTATGATTTTGCAATCG